GTTCCCTTAATTATGCAGAACTTTAAGGCTTAATATAATTTAAACGGATGAGTTATAAAAAAAATTCACCCCCCTCACAGTTGTCATGAAGGGCAAAATTAGCTATATAGACCAAAATCATTTTTTGAACCAGGCTGTAAACATGTTTTTTCTGCTGTAAAGTTGGACATTTTAACATGGGGATTCTATGGGATTGACTCCCTTTTGCAGCCAGCCTTTAGCGGCCTGTTGACGAATTACAGTTTAAGTCACTTCCGTGTTGGCTTCACGAGAGAGACCGGGAGGTTTCCGCTTGGTACTGACAAGCTGTTTCTCATGGTTACATAAAGTGTCAAGTATCTGTCAGACCCGTGTTCCTGATCCGCCGCTGAAATACACTATCAGGACTGGTGTTGAGCTTACTATAAGAGAAGATGAGCACTGTGAATAGCAGTTCTCCAGATCTCCAGTAGAGACGCGTGTGCTCTGTTTACCTGAATTCTTGCATACCTCACTAAGCTTACCTGCAACACTTCGGTTGGTCCTCTGTTCTCTTTCGATTAATTGTAAACCTGGTTTTGACAGCTGAGAGACGTGTGTGTCCTTTGTGACGTTTCTGAACATTTTAGTTATTGGTTCTGTTTTAAAACCTATGTACTGCCTGCCTAGACAGCATTTAACGCACTTTCCTCTGTAAATAAGGACGGAAAAGCCTTAAATATAAGGCGGAATCGCATGTATCCAAGATGGCTGATGAAGTCAGGAACTCCTGACCAGAAATATACTGATATTTAATTCAGAAGGGAACATCAATAAAATAAGTCTTAATTAAAAGGGACTATGTTTGTGTGATCTGTGCATAGACCTTAGTCAGGTTAGACGCCATATTGAATTTAATGCGGATGAAAATGACCCTTACACAAAGAAACTATATTTCCTTCTAAATGAATGAGCAATATATTAAATGATTTAACGGTGTATTGAAAATATACAGAATAATGTATTGTGTTAATATATTGCAATATATTGAATAATACATAAGGAATTGCCGTTTTCCTATATTAAAAGATATGTGACAATATATTTAATTATAACCCCACAAACTCAGACACACCAGAAACCCTTTTAAATTCCAAAACAATAGAGCATTAGACACTAACAGATCTCCACCTACAATAATATTGAGCAAAACACATAATACTTCATTTTAAGATTTACTCTCCCCTAACAGTCAGAAGCAAAGCATGCTGGGAACTAGAAATCTGCTGTAGCTCATTCTGTGAATGTGTACTTACGTTCACATTTATATGGGTACATGTATGTGCAATATATGTGCACAATAAAAGGATAACACTTTATGAATATTACATGCAATGCTATTTTTGTCTTCATTTCTAAATATTTTTATATGTATCAATATATAGCCATACATGGTCAATGCATATATTGCAGTATATTGAAAAATATAAGGACTAGTTTCCCATATATGGAAATGTATTATGTAATATATCACATAATATTTTGCAGTAAATTCCCCATATATTTTTTGTTCCCTAAGGGGACAGACTTGCAGTCTTTACAATAGCGCGCATGAAGGTTGTAACGAATCAGTCCACTGAAGGCAAGCGTAGTGAAGAACCCAAGTGCAGTTTATTTACAGGTGATCCAAACATCCAAACATAATCCAAACAAACGAAGACTAGATACACAGACGAAGACTAGGCATGAACAGACTTGACTTGGCATGAACAGACTTGACGAGGCATGAACAGACTAGACTCACCGATAGCGGGTTACAACATCAAATACACGACAAGGGCACAATGGGAACATGATGGCTAGTTATAGCAGACAGGGAGGGTCACATGACATGAACAAACCAATGGGAAACAAGACACATGACCTAGACAACCAATCAGAACATGACACAATGAACAGAGGAACCAACAGCATGAATACATGAGGGCAAGGGAAGCATGACACAAACAGGGACCATGAACCAATTACAAAATAAGACATGAAAACATGAACATGAAACAAAACCCAAACACCAAACCCCACATTACAAAGGTTTATATAAAGGTCCTACATTTTCACAACTCACAACTTTCAAAAGTTTTTAATTGAGTTTTTTTTCTACTGAAAGTATATATACAGTGGGTACGGAAAGTATTCAGACCCCCTTAAATTTTTCACTCTCTATAGAGCGCAACATCATTTTCTCCATAGGGAAACAGACTTTCCATGATAACTTGTAAACCTTTAAAGACAGACCTGTTGTGAACTCTGAGGTTGATGGTATCGGCTTTTGTTAAATCCATCTTTTCACATTTTTTTTTTACTTTTAAATAATGTTTAACAGCAGAATTCATGTTAGAAAAACTACATTACCCATGATAATCTACAGAAAATTCCTACAGTCAGAACGTTGGAGCAAGCAAATTGCACCAAAAAGATCTTTAGCCCTGCCCAGTCCCATGAAGCACTGCAAATTATGTAATAGAGTCGGCCAACCTAAATATGTATATGTGCATAGCTTGCAATACACTTAAATATATATAGTTTTATATTTCTCCAACATTTTTAATTCGATTAATGTAATTTGCAACGCTTCATGGGATTATAGTTCAGAATCAGAATCAGAATCAGAAAGAGCTTTATTGCCAAGTATGTTTGCACATACAAGGAATTAGAGGAATGTAAATACTCACGGGAATGAATGAGTGAAACTCCCGCGGTGAATAGAATGCCTTACAGTTAATGAAAAGCGCTTCTAGATCGGAACAGCACATCTTGGCGCCATCGCATGGATTCAACGATGGTTCTGTCCTTTATTAAAGCCATTAAGTACACAGTCTTGTACCTTCATCTTTTTGTCCAGTTTTGATTTACTTTTTTGCTTTAAATCAAAGTGTGTAATGTTTTAACTGTACTGATTCATGTCATTCCTGTTTAGAAGGCAGTTTGTGCAGCATTATTTGAATGTAATAATCAGCATTGTTTTTTCCCCTCACAGCGTGGGATGGACAGTCTCTCCATGAGGTCGTCAGACAGTGATGTAAGCGACGTGTCCGCTTTGTCGAGCGCGTCTCGTCTTAGCAGCACGAGCTACATGTCTGTCCAGTCAGAAAGGGTGCGAGTGAGCCGCAGGATCAGGTAGGCACATAATGAACCCACTGAGCCCTGATAGCTCTGGATGTATCTGCAGTCATGAACATACTTATTGTGCTTCTGGCGAGTTCAGGTTTGGCTCTGCCTGCTTGCGAATTGAGATGAACCTCTGAACTTGCCAAGAGTGTGTTTACCAATGACTGAGACCACATCATGTGGTTTTGAACAAACTTATATACAGGTGAATCTCATGAAGAAATGTCCAACTCATATTTAACACCCAAATCTAAAGAGAAACAAATATTAATTATATTTATTAATATTCAATTATATATATATAAATTACCATTACTGTAATGCAATTTATATAGTTTGGTTAGTTTGATAAGTTAAGATTTCTTAGTGTTTTGTCTCTTATGTAAAAGCAGTAATATTGTGAACTATTATTGCTATATATACAGTATGTGTATGTATATATATATATATATATATATATATATATATACACATGTGATCAAAGCTGAATTTATTATTATCAATGTTGGAAATGTTTTTTGCTTCTTAATTATTTTGTGGGAACCACAATATAAATAATATTATATATAATATCAAAGATATTTTTTCATTACTTTTTTTTTTTAGAATTATTTGATAAATAGAGAGTTCAGAAGAACAGCATGTAAAGAATGTTACTTGTCATGTGAAGAATTTATTTGAAACAATTTTTGCAGCAGTTTGAAAGACTTTGTCACTTCTTTATTTATTTTTTCATCTTATATATGATTTTTCATATAATTTATTTAATGCATTATTTCTGAATAAAATGAACAATTTCTTTAAAAAATAATTTAATTAAATGATATATCATTGTTTTATTATTTCTATCACACGAGAAAGAGTTTTTTCACATAACAATAATGAGAATTTTGAGGCTAAAAGCTTACTTTTCATGAAAATGTGTTATTAAAATATGGGTTGGACATGTTTTCACCCATTAACAGAAGGACTGAGACTTTCAAGAGAATCTCAAAGTATATGACAGCATCATTCTGTCACAGAATCTCTCTTGTTCATGAAGAGAGTTCATTTTCACTAGTGCTGTCAAACGATTAATCGCATCCAAAATAAAAGTTTACGCTTACGTAATATGTGTGTGTGTACTGTGTATATTTAATATAAATATATAAATACACACACACACATATATATATATATTAATAACATTTATATGTACTGTATATATATATATATAATATATTTTTTATAAAATGTATAAATATTTTATATATAAATATAACATACTTTTCTGAAATATACACATGTATGTGTGTGTATTTATATATACATAATAAATATACACAGTACACACACACATATT